ATATACAATTATATATATATATATATATATAAATATATGGACATATTTTTTCCGGGATTTATACTGTTTGAATGAAAATTATAATATCGATGTAAAGTTATCGTCAATTTATGTTCTACGTAATCGCGGAATCGATTAATTTTAGTCATTGCTAATTACATGAGAGTCTCGTAAATCCTTTGACAGTTTCTGACACTGACATTTTCGGAGATTTATTGTCGCGATAATCAAAATTTAATATTCTAATCGCGCGACTAACTTCGCCAGCTCGTGCTCAATTATCACTTCAGGATTTCGAAGTACCATCCGTCGAGTCCTAGGAGTCTAGGATCACCGAACATCTCTGAGACGTGTAAGACTGTTTGCAGAATGTGTGACATCCTATAGTCAACATCATCGAGGCAAAGCGGTAACGAGTTGTGCAAACAGTTTATGACGGAGAACGTTTGGATGCGATTATCATCGTAGTGCAAAGAAGTACTACACATTTCCTTTGAAAAGCATATACAAGACATTATAACGTAATTAGTTGCACTAAAATAATAGGACGATTGTTAACCACGTTGGCAAATATCCACGAATGATTTGTGTTAGAAATAAATATTGAAGCGCGATGCAGCATTTTAAAGTAACAACTATTCTGATACTACTGAACTATCTGAACTGAGCAGATATACAATTCTTTTCTATTTTACTTTCAAATTTAAAATTATTATTACAAGAATATTATTTAATCTGCTAAATATCATTCAAAAAAAAAAAGAGAAAATCCACAATTATTTACATAATATTATTTATTTTAGAATAATTTTTGATTGAATTTTTGACTCCTATAATTTCGTTATTTTTTTATTTCTATAATATTCTTATAATTTATATTACAGACGTATAAGAAAGAATATAATTAATTCAGAAACGCTGCATCGTAAATATGAGGATCTATAATGTTAAAATGGTTTACAAATTGTTTATAACAGAATAATTTTTTTCTCATTGACGATCTGTTCGAATTTTGAAAATAGCACAAACGCGTGATGAAGTATGCGAGAAATGGGATACCCAAGATTGCGATGTTTTTATATAGAAATAGGAACTCTTTTTGCTCCTTTCTTGTGTTTAATCACCAGTTAGCCGAGCGGCCCTTACACGACAAGTCAACAAATACATGTCGCGTATTTGTACAAGACCTTTACGTTTTTACAGTACCCTTCCAGCGTTTCTACAACTACGAGGAACAGTTAAGTTTTATTACGGAGAACAGTTTTTACCTTACGGAGAACAGTTAACATATTTATACTTTATATAAAAAAATTTACTTCGGATAATTTTAGATAAAGTACATCTTAAAGGAAAAAAATCCGATTTCATTCGCACATTTTAAAAACATCTCACTGTTTTTTAACCTTAAGTTACACTTTAGTGTTCTTTCCATTTCAGAAAAGATCTAACTATCTACAGTATACCGACTCACTTAATTTATAACGTTGTGTTAACTATTATGCAAATTCGAAACTCGCAGCAGGTTTTAGAGATTTTAAATGTTTCAATACACGTAATTCCTTTAATAGGAAACTTGCTAGTGCAATGTATACCGTGCAAATAATGTTTAAGAAATGCTTTGTTTCTTTATAACAGCTATAATTTTTGTTTATCTAACATTTTTTCA